AAAATAAAATATATAATATAAAAAATTATATTAAAAAAATAAAAATAAAATATAGAAGATTATAATAAGAATGAAAATAAAATATATGAAATAAAAAATATATATAAGAGATGATATTATATAAAAATTAAGAATAAAAAATATAACTATATTAAACTAATATTTTAATAAATATGGGTAATTTTGAAAATTATCATTACATTTCTAGTAAAGTATTTATAAACCAAATGCTGCAATGTTATCTTTCCTACATTTTAATCATTATTTTGCTTCTATATCAAACACTGTAATATTATTTTCTCTGCAATCACATTGCTTGCGATCACGTTACTTGCAATCATATTACTTGTAATCAAATTACATTATAAAGTACCAAATACTACCTTAAGTTAAAATAACACGTGAAAATATAATTCTCATAATATCACTTAATAAAATGAATGCATTGTCCTTAAAAGCAGCATGAGAAGTATCATGTCATCAGAATATCAAATAAAATAATACATTCACAACCATAACAATATTTACTTGTAGACTATAGTTCTCTATATTGTAAAATTCTAAACAAAAAAAAAATTTATCAAAGGTCTTGTTTCCTGCACATACAGGTATTTTCCATCAAAGAATATTCTTTCTCATTTTCTGTAACATAAAGGTCTAAACATTGTCAAATACTAAAATACATTACCCAAATCCAACTTGTATATATATATATCATCAAAAGCTACCCTAAAATGAAATATCTGAACATAAGTATTTACTCGTCTGGCCCGATTATCCAACCCATGTAAAGTACAAACCCAAAAAACTATAATCAACATCCCCAAACCCAAACGTTTAAAAATCTCCTTCCACTAACCAAATCAATACCCAAGCCAATTAAATCAAGCCAATTGTCATATCATATAAACTTGGACAGATGTCGAAAGAACGTATATAAAGACTTCTATGACGCTAGACAGGTGTCATATATTACCACACCCGTTTAGGAACAATTTTATTATGTGCTATAATGTAATGATTTGTTCGCAACAATCGCGTGGCATTCGAGCGTGTTGAGACCTAAGTTCGTACCAAGGGCGAAACTAAAGTTTGGTTGTCGTTTTTTGGCACAATTGTGACCCTACTTCTTCTTTGGATGCCAATTGAAAACTTTGGCATGTGACTAAGTCAAGACGTGGAATATAATTTATCCTGTTTGACACTACTTTACTTTATATCAGCTGTTATTAGGGGTTGTACATATTCATTTTTATGTCCAAAACTCAAGCAACAAAATTTAATTTTATTAAATAAAATAAATAAGTGCATTTATCTTTATACCACTTTATTATACAAAGAAACGATCTTCTAATTTTGATCACCTTAAAAACAAAATAATTATGTGAAATTTTACATGATTATATGAAAGCTTTTAAATGTGACTTAAAGAATGCTGGACAAATCTAATTGGGATAGTTGAAAATTTGTGTAATTGTGAAAGAGCTTCAGTTAAAATTGTAAGTTGGATTTGTCGATTCATACTTAATCATATTTATATAAAATTATTTTTGGGTAATGTTTTTGATTAGTTCTTCAATATTCTTTTTTTTCTAATACATGGTTAGAAGGAATGGCTTTGGATTTTCTGATTTCTAATATCTTGGGGCTTAATTGTGATGTCTAAAGGGTGTGCTTGTAATGTGTTAGAATTCTTTATTTAATGTCTTAAAGTTAACATCATATTGATCAACATCAAAGAAGGAAAGGCGGAACACAAACGATTTTGGTCTTTAATCTATTGGTGATTCGTGACCAACCATGCACTTGCAGGGTTCCAGTGTCGCAAACATTTTCAAAATTAGATGATTAATTTACTATATCCACATGACATAAAGAGGTTATGTAAGCCTCTGCTGCAGAATCGAGCTATGTTTTCTTTTGTCTCATTCTTTTTCACTCTGCGCAGTTTGTACGCAACGGGCTCGTATTTCTTCGAGCGTGGTTGAGGCGTGGTCGTACGAAGGCCGAAAATGGGAGTCGGCTGTTGCGAACACTTTTATTTTATTTTTCTTCTAGACTTTAGTGGACTTTGAGACTTGAGATGATTATGTATGTTTATTTGGGTCATCCGTGGTTAATGCTTGACTTTGCCAATTTCCGATCTATCTTGCTGGGCAGAAATGGATCAGAATCTTGAAGGACAGAATTTGACGATGCATAGTAATTTGCAGCAAAGAGATGGGTCAAGCTTCACGGGAGACCTTCAACCAAGCGGTAAGGCGTGAAATTTTAAACAAGGCTTCAAGTTTGTGCTTTTAATTTTGTTTGGTTGGAGTCCTTTTGATTCAAGAAAAATGATTTTCCCCCATCTTTGTTCAAAAATTTATTAGGTCTGCATTTTGAGACAAAATGGATTTTTCCTAATTTAAAAGTCTTGAATAGGGGCTTTCCTCTTGGTGTATGAGCAGAATAGTAGTTACTCCCAACTTATAAGAGTATTTATCTTATGAATTTATCATTTTAATTCTTTTTTTAGGTGTAATTGATTACCATTAATCCAATTATCGAACTCAATCATACAGAAAATTTCTTTTTAATTATTCCATATATCTAATAAATTTCTTAACTTTTTGTAGGTGCAAGTCAATATTAAAATACTTTGCAAGTTAATCCAGGTTTTATTATAGTATTTTCATTTTGAATCAAGCTAAGATTCAGTGGAATGTTCTAATTTAACACCTTTTGCTTGGTTCAGCTCTATACATTATTAACACTTAAGTATATATTGAGTGAAATATTTTGGCTAATTTTAGCACTTAATATCTTGCAGTGCCGGCAGTTCAGAATCCTGGAGGACAGGATTGGACGTGGCAGGGTAATTTGCAGCCGAATGCTGTACCAATCTTCACGGAAGGCCTTCAAAGAGGCGGTAAGGCATAAAATTATAAGCAGGCTTTCAAGTTTGGGTTTTAAATTTCATTCTGTTTGAACTCTGTTTGATTCACGAAAATTATTGTCTCTAGTGTTTTTAATATTTGGTTAGCTAAACATTCAACACAGAAAAACATTTTCCAATCAAAGTGTTAAATAGATACTTAATAACATTTTCCATTTTGTATTTTGGTTTAAAAAAAAAAACAAGGTCAAGCAAGAGATTAGGGTAATTTTGTGAAAATCCACCTGAATAATTTTTAACTGACGTGGCAATGGATCCCGATGAGCTAATGATTTGACTAGCTTAGGTAACAATCAAAGGGAGAAAATATACATTTTGATACAAAATGGATGTTGCATAGTTTTGAAAGTCTTGAAGAGGGCCTTTCATCTTGGTGTTTGAGTAGAATATCAGTTATCTACAACTTATAAGAGTATTTCTCTTATTAAATTCATCATTTTAATTCTTTTTTAGGTATTAATCGATTGCCATTAAACCAATTATAAAGCTTAATCATAAAAGAAAATTCTCTTCTAATTATTTCATATATCTAATAAATTTCTTCCCTCTTGTAAATGCAAGTCAATATCAAAATACTTTGCAAGTTAATCTAGGTTTTCAGATTCAGTAGAATATTTTAGTTTAGCACTTTTCGCTTGGTCCAGCTCTATACATTATTATCACTTAAGGATATATTGAGTGAAATATTTTGGCTAATTTTAGCACATACTATCTTGCAGTGCCAGGTCAGAATCCTGGAGGACAGGATTGGACGTGGCAGAGTAATTGGCAGTCAAATATCTTCACAGAGGGCGTTCAAAGAGGTGGTAAGGCATAAAATTATAAGCAGGCTTTCAAGTTTGGGTTCTAAATTTCACTCTGTTAGATTCTCGAGAAATGATTTTCCCTAGTGTTTTTAGTGTTTAGTTAGCTAAACATTAAACAGAAAAACATTTTCCAACTAAAGTGTTTTTTTTTAAGTTGAATTTCTTAACACTGAGTCACTGTGCTATCCAAAATCTTTAACCATTTACTAGGGACTTCTACTGGCACTTGGTTGGTGCAAACTGAAAAAAGGTGTGATAAACAAAGTGAAACTGCTTCGCAAGATCAGTTACAGTTTCCTTTCCAATCAAAGTGTTAAATAAATACATAATAACATTTGCCTTTTTGTTAGGGCTCTTGATACTCATTGAGAATGTCAAGGCTAATATTCAGATTCTTTGTTTTAATTTTAACTTATCTCTTTGTTCTACAATTTAGTACATCTGGTCATTTTGGTAGAGTATACTGAGATTGATGGGAAAATCCTTGTTCCATCTTTTTGCTCTTACAATTTTGGTAGACATACAAATGGATTGTACGATTATGGTGGAGAATTCTGGACATGCACACGCTATGAATAGTCTTGGAACAGGCATTACAAAAGAGCAGTCTGGCAAGAAAACCACGGATAAAAAAGGGTTGTCACAGTCCAAAGGCGCTATAAGATCTAGAGAGCAGCGGGCAAAAAAACAGGTAAGAATTTCCTAACTTTCTCCATGTATTCTCTTTCCTGATTCTGATTGGTTTTTAAAATTTCATAGAATGTATAGATTACATTAGGTTGTTTTTGTATTAGTACTTAAAAGTAACTAAGCCAAAAAGACAATCGAAACCTCAGACCAAAGTATGATCTGACTTTACTCCACATTCGCATGAATATAAAAGGTTTAAGTCAACCAGGTGCCTCTGCCTGATCCACTAGTATAATGAGAGTAACTTTTTCAAAGTTCCAATGCTAATTACCATAGCATAATCTTTTCATCTAGTTGATCTGAATTTCTGTATCCAGAAACTCGAGGAAAATACCAAGATGGAGATGGAGAGGCTTTATGAAGAAAATAATGCACATAGAGTAAATTTCTCAAAATTTCTATACTAATTATAATAGCATAAGGGTTATTTCAACTCTTTGATCTGACTTTTTGTATTCAGAAACTCGAGGCAGAGAATAAGGTCAAGATTGAGAGGCTTTGTAAAGAAATCGACGCACTCAAAGTAAATTTCTCAAAGTTTCAATGCTAATTACTATAGCATAAAAGTTATTTCATTTATTTGATCTGATTTTTTGTGTCCAGAAACTCGAAGAAGAGAATAAGGTCGAAATCGAAAGGCTTCGTAAAGAAAATGATGCACATAAAGTAAATTTCTTGAAGTTCCAATTTTAATTACTATAATATAAAAGTTATTTCATCTTTTTGATCTGACTTTTTGTGTCCAGAAACTAGAGGAAAAGAACAAGATTGAGATCGAGAGGCTTTGCAAACTAAATGATGGACATAAAGTAAATTTCTCAAAGTTTCAATGCTAATTGCTATAGCATGGTGGTTATTTCATATCTTTGATATGACTCCTTGTGTCCAGAAACTTGAGGAAGAGAACAATGTCACGATTGAAAGGCTTCGTAAAGAAAATGATGCACATAAAGTAAATTTCTCAAAATTTTAATGTTAATTACTATATAATAAAGGTTATTTCATCTCTTTGATATGACTTTTTGTGTCCAGAGACTCGAGGAAGAGAACAAGATTGAGATCAAGAGGCTTCTTAAAGAAAATGATGCACATAAAGTAAATTTCTTAAAGTTTCAATTCTAATTACTATAAAGTAAAGGTTACCTCATCTCTTTGATTTGACTTTCTATATTTAGGAACTCGAAAAAGAGACAAAGGTCAAGGTGGAGAGGTTTCTTCAAGAAAGTAATGCACATAAAGTAAGTTTCTCAAAATTCCAATGCTAATGACTATAGCATAAAGATTATTTCATCTCCTTGATATGATTTTTTGTATCTAGGAACTTGAGGAAGAAACCAAGGTCAAGATCGAGAGGCTTCGTAAAGAAAATGATGCATTTAAAGTAAATTTCTCAAAGTTCTAAGGCTATTTACTATTGCATAAAAGTTACTTCATCTTTTGATCTAACTCTTCGTATCTAGAAACTTGAGGAAGAGAACAAGATCGAGATTGAGAGGCTTCGAAAAGAAAATGATGTGTATAAAGTAAATTCTCAAAGTTCCAATGCTAATTATCATAGCATTATGGTTATTTCACCTTTTTAATATGGCTTTTTATGTCCAGAAACTCGAGGAAGAGATTAAGATCGAGATCAAGAGGCTTCATGAAGAAAATGATGCATATAAAGTAAATTTCTCAAAGTTTCAATGCTAATTACTATAGCATAAAGGTTATTTTATCTCCATGATCTAACATTATGAGTCCAGAAACTGGAGGAAGAGAACAAGGTTGAGATTGAGAGGCTTCGTCAAGAAAATGATGCACATAAGGTAAATTTCTCTAAGTTCCAATGCCAATTACTAAATTATAAAGGTTATTTCATTCTTTTGACTTGACTTTTTATGTCTAGGAACTTGAGAAAGAGACGAACATCGAGATCAAGAGGATTCTTAAAGAAAATGATGCACATAAAGTAAATTTCTCAAAATTTCAATGCTAATTACTATAGCATAAATGTTATTTCATCTCTTAGATCTAACTTTCTGTGTCAGGAACTTGAGAAGAAAACCAAGGTCGAGATGGAAAGGTTTCTTAAAGAAAATGATGCACATAAAGTAAATTTCTCAAAGTTCCAATGTTAATTACTATAGTATAAAGATTATTTCATCTCTTTGATTTGACTTTTTTTGTGTCCAGAAACTCGAGGAAGAAAACAAGATCGAGATTGAGAGACTTCGTAAAGAAAATGATGCACACAAAGTAATTTTCTCAAAGTTACAATGGTCATTACTATAGCTTAAAGGCTATTTCATTTTTGTGATTTGACTTTTTGTGTCTAGAAACTGCAGGAAAAGACCAAGGTTAAGATCAAAAGGCTTCGTAAAGAAAATGACGCACATCAAGTAAAATTTTCAAAGTTTCAATGCTAATTACTATAGCATAAAGATTATTTCATTATATGACTATGATATGACTTTTTGTGTCCAGAAACTCAAGGAAGAGAACAAGATTGAGATCGAGAGGCTTCGTAAAAAAAATGATGCACATGAAGTAAATTTTTTAATGATGCAATACTAATTACTATAACCCAAAGGTTATTGCCTCTCTTTAATTTGACTTTTTGTTTCTAGAAACTCATGGAAAATACCAAGATCAAGATGAAAAGGCTTCGTGAAGAAAGGGATGCAAATAGGGTAAACTTCTCAAACTCCTAATATTTAGTATTATGGCATAAAGGTTATTTTATCTGTTTGATATGATTTCTTGTATACAGAATTTAATGGAAGAGATGGAGATCGAGATGAAGGGGCTTTATAACGGAATTGATACATATCAAGTAAATTTCGCATCATTTGAATACTAATTATTATAATATAAAAAGTTATTTTATGTCTTTGATCTAATTTTTTGTGTCCAGAAATTTATGGAAGAGACTAAGATTGAGATGCAGAATCTTCGTAAAGAAAATATTGCACATCAAGTAAATTACTCACAATTCGAATGCTAATTATTATACTATAAAGGTTATTTTATCTCTTTGATCTGACATTCTATAATGATTGATGAAGGCCATGCTGGAGAGGCTCTGTAAAGGAAATGAGGAAGACAAAAGAAAGAAGTATGAGTTCAATAAAAATCTTGAAAATCTAGGTGGAAGGGTAACTGCATTTAAAACCTCCAAACTCCAAAAGGGGTTTATCTTGAGGAGACCAGTGAGTGATCTCTGATCTTAGGAATGAAAAGAGTATATTTTTTTTCTCTTGCTAAAGTAGCGCATAAATGATAGCTTTGTTAATATTATTTTTCTCTTTATTTGTAGGAGAATACTTCATTTTTGGAAACAGAAATCAAAAGGCATATTGCGATCAAGGGGTTTGTAAAGATTCCGCTTGAAAATATGGTGGTCAAAATTGAGGACGATGTCTTGTACATCAACTCAAAAACGCCAGATATGAATTAAAGGGTACATTCCAATTTATTGCTACTTCAACTTTTGTTTATCTTCAAAATCTGTCTACTCAATTCATGTGGTCTGTACTAATTAAAGGCTAAAACTAAACAACTTTGCCTGCTTCTGGCTTGATTTGCTAAGATGATGTTATCATTGCTCAAACCAAGGATTTTAAAAGTTGTAACTTTTAAAATTAGATTTCTCTATACAAGGATGCTTATTAGTTGAGATGACATTTGTTTCTTTTGTCAAATGAAATTTGTTACTTTCTTTATGCATGAGCTTACTTGTTAATATTGTATTGTATAATCACTTCATGTTTATTTTAATTGCTCCTTGATTGCGATTGCCAGGATTAGGACCCAAGTAAATGACCCTAAACGCTTCAATTGATTTTGGAATTAGGATCTTACACAATTACTTGATTTTAAAGAGACCTTTTTAAAGTGGTTAATTTTTAGATTTTTTTTATTATAAAGGGTAATATCATTTTCATTTTAACCGTTATAGGATAATTCATCTATTTACAAATTATATAGAAATAATAAATAACAAACTTTTCATTTTATTTTTTATAAGTAGATAATCGAACTATGGAATGTATACTTGGTAATAAGCCCATTGATTTTTTTTTTTAATTTTTCTAAGATTATATATTGCATGTATATTTACAGGTAGATTATATATACATAGTAGGACAAACACTTGAAATGGGCTTGTAAGTTTTATTGACATAGTGTTTGTTTGGTTTAAATTTCTTTCAACGTATTTATTTTTTAAAAGTAGAAGTCTGATCAAATAGGATTTTGAAAAGTTCTTAATACAAAAAACAGCTTTCAAAAAAAATTAAAAAAAGTTTAAAGAAAACTCTAGGGAGGAACGTTCTCTTCTATTTTTTTAAAAACACATCAGTTTTTCCAAAAAATATCATTCTTTCTTAATGGATCTCCTTTTCCTCTCCCTCCCTCTACAAATCATCCTTTTCTAATGCATATCACGATTTCGCTCGCTTTTGCTTCTCTCTACAAAGATTACTAAAAAAATAAGCAATAGAATAGCAAAATCTAAAATTTTTTTATTCTCACAAAGATTAAGAGAAAAGTAACTCAAAATTAAAAACTGTATTAAGGTACTGTTTAAAGGTTTTTTTTTTCTTCACCAAAGATTTTAATGTCAAATGCATTATTTACTCTTTTCTATTCGTTTTTGGGAATTGAAGCATTATAGTTCGATTGCTTTCTAGATCAATAAAAATTTAAAACTATTACTACTATACAAAGTTTAAGAGTTGTTTTGTTCCTGTATGAATTTTTTTTGTTTTAATATATGAAATCGTATATAAGCTCAAAACAATTTTGTTCCACTTTGGTTTATTAGGTGATTAAAGATAGTATGAATATCATTTATAGTAATTTTAACTAAAATTAGAGCGTATATAATTTTACCAAACAACTTACCAAACAGTTTTAACTTAATTTTAAAAATTATTATTTTTCATTAGAGCTTCATAATAGTTTTTAAGCTAAAAAAAAGTTAAGTCAAATAAGCTCATAATCATTAAAGCATTCCTGTCATCCTTAATAATTTCTTGGGCAAGGGAAACCACAAACTTCGTTGATCTTACCATGCTAACAATCAAATGTGATTAAATATACTAGAATACAAAAAGTTAATTATTCGATCCCATCTGATTGATTTGATTAAAAGAGTTAATTATTCAAAATCTGAAAACATTTAAATCTAAAAAGATTTAATTTTGAAATGATCGGATTAATAAATGGAAAGATTTTGTTTTGCTAAAACGTTGCCAACAACAATTTCGTCTTATTTAACATGTGAAACAACAATGCATTCTTATAAACCATCATCCTTTCCTGAACCTTTTCAACTATGGGAGACGAATCCTCAACATGGAACTGTAATATTTTCATCACCTCAATCTAATCTCCTTTTAGAATAATATATTTATATAATTAGAGTATAATTGAAGAAATCTATAATTCTTTTTTCTTTTGAAAACCGAGTTCTATTTTTTCAAAAGAAATCTATAATATTTTTTTCTCTTTTTTTTTCATTCGTCTTTTTCTTTTTTTCTTTTTTCCTAGTTTTCTTTTTCTTTTCACTTTTTCCTTCCAAAGAGCCAAGAGAACAAAGTTATTGACATAGTGTTTATGAACCATAAACACCTTAACCTATTCTCGTCCATGACCTTAAAATGGCTATAGACCAAAAACCAAAAGAGAAATCTTAAAATCTAAAGGCCAAGTTAATCTCTCATAATCCCTTTCTCCCGATTAACCCACAGCAATTGTTCAAATAGGACCATCATAATCACTCACTTGTCCTAACCATACCAACATTCCCACATTGAAGCCTCAAACCCCACCCTTTTGCATTTCCCTCTCACCCACTTACATTCAAAAATGAAGAGGAATCTTTTCAAATTTTCTTTTTGCCCTAAAACATTTGATAATTTCCTCTTTTTTTCTGTTTTTATGTATTTTCCCTTATCTTCTTTTTTCCTTCCTTTTCCTTTTTTTTTTCTTTTCTCTCTCTCTCTCCCTCTTTTACCTTTTATTCTTCCTAGCTATTATTTTTCAAGACTCTTTTTGCCATAGTCTTTCATATGAACAATTAAAGAAATAGGTAAACACTCCTTGGAAGTGGGCCCAGGCGATATAAACTTCTCTGCCCTACACAAGCAAGAGCATGGCTTTCGGCAATCCACCTTCACAGATCTCAAACACTTATTAGAAGGCAATTAACTCAGGCTCTGTTAGAAACTACATGCCTGAGCATGATAAGAGAGAAAAAGCAAATAACGTAATAGGTAAAGAGACAATGAAACAAAAAAATAAGTGACAAAATCAAAGTAAAGAAAAAAAATAAAAAAGAAACCTATCCTAGGGCATGAAACATAACAATCCTCTTCCTTTGAAAACCCTTCCCTCTTTTTGTACCCATTTATTCAAATAAATAGCAACTTCTCTCCCCTCATAATCCCTAACTTTACCAACTCATCAACCATGCTATTACTTTCCCTACTGATTTTGTTGACCTCACATTCACCTATTCTCCTCTTAATTCCGTCTAGGATCATCTCTTTTCTTAACTTCCGCGGAGCTTTTTAAGGTTGTGGAACTAACTTACTGCATTACTCGAGTCACTCTTGACTACTAAAGCGTGACTTGTCACCCATCTTGAAGCTCTAAAAATCTTGATGGCCTCTCTAATTGCTAGAACCTCTGTCGTATTTGCATCTACTATTCCAATAGCTTTCGAGAACAACACTTTAATAGCCCCAAATTCATCTCTAAGGACTCCTTCTATGGCCACTTGCCCCAGCAAACCCTTAGCTACACCATCGACATTGAACTTAAAGAATCCCTTTTCTGGTGGCTGTCTTGTCATTTTTTCGTTCTTGCTCTCATTTCTAATTTTAGATTTATTGATATTTGAGTTCTTAAAGAGCTCCACAGTTTAATGTTATTCCTCTAGCCAATTAGGCTTTGCCCACCATGTGACTTTAGTTTTTACCAAATATTAACATTGCTCTCCATCCCAAACCATGCCTTGGAAGACTATGTCGTTTCTCATTAACCAAATAGTCTAGATAATGGCAAAGAAAGCTAAATCCTAGATTCTCTTATCCCTATTTCTAACCAGCTCTCTCTAGTCAAGGAAGAAGTAATAAGCCTTTGAGTGTGTTACCTATTGAATTCCCCATCTGCACCCCCACCCAGTCCAAACTCTCTTTCCATTTGAAGAAAAGGTCTAGACTTTCAAACTCTCTTTCCATTTAAAAAAAAGGTGATTGATCGTTTCTTTTTTCTTTCGGCAAAGCATGCAAAGAACTAAATCTTCTCTCAATAACCTTCTCTTCACCAGTTCTACTCTAATAGCTACCTTGCCTCTAATTACCTTCTAATAGAAAATCTCAACTTTTAATGGAGTAACTTCGATCTAGACCTTTTCCCAGATATCATTTGAGGCTCTATCCTCAAATACCATCGTTCTATAAAATGAACTCACCAAATACTCTCCACTCGAACTCCCTTTCCCAGTAACCCTATCATTGTACCCATTAATCACTGGGTTCCCCCTATGACTTTTAATAGTTTTTCCCACTATTCCTTCTCCCACCCAAATAACATGCGTATCAACTCAATCCTCAATTGCCATGAGTCATCAACCCAAACACCAAACTCCCTCACCCTACCCTCTTTGGTAATGGCTAATGCAAAAATCCTCGAGAATTCTTTTTTTAGAACCCTCTCTTTTATCTATTCCTTTGTCCAAAAATGCAAGTTTTCATCATTTCCTAAAATGAAGCCAATTCCCTTTTTCAAAATTTTGTGCCTGTCACTTCTTGTGTTATGGACTTTGTAATGTTTCTCTAAATGAAGGATTCCTTGCTTGCATTTCCATTTTTAAGGAGAAGGTCACCATGGTCGTCATTTTTTTTGTCTAAAAAAGGGACATGTAAACATTAGGAAGGTTGGTAAGCATAGATTTGATAAGTGTTACCTTACCCCAAATCGAGAGCATTTTGCCTTTCCATTTTGCAAAATTTCTCCACCATTAGTTTTCAAAGTTCTTTTGAATTACTTTTGACTCACAAAGGTAAGCTTAAGTACCTTGAGGAGAATTTCTCTAACTTTGCATCCAATCATACCTGCCCATTTAGCCACCAAGACTAGGTTGTTTCCACCATTGCTTTCTTTAGTTCCTTCATCCTTTTAGAATATTTTTCCTTCAACATTGAACATTTAGATTTAAAACGTCTTGGTTTCTTACATTCAAAGTTGATCATCTCATTTTTCTTATTGGGATCACCCTTGTGCTTGTTTTTTCAAGAGAGACCTTAGTCTTTCTTATAATTTTTCCTTCCAAACCTTTTACCCTTTTGTCCCATCAGCTTCCTAAACTTTCTGGCCATTATTGCTAACTCCTCATCATCATCACTTGATAATTCTTCAAGTTCTTCCTCAAGTGTACTGATCCTAAGTGTAAGATTTTTTCTTTTCTCTTTGGCTTCTTTTTTTTTTTCTTCCTTCATTTCAAGTTCATGTATGAGGAGAGAACCATAAATTTCATCAAGTTTGACTACATTGACATCTTTGGCTTCTTGAATAGTAGTGACTTTTGGTTTTTAGCTTTTTAAAAGACATTTAAGAAGTCTTTTTACTAACTCATGTTTAATGATGGTTTTTTCAAATTAATTGAGCTTGTTTGGAATATTGGTATGCCTATCGAACATAGTATTAACATCTA